GTCTTTACCCATTATATATACTGTATGTATAGAGGAACATTATTGTTAATATTATCTTAATAATAAATCATACAGTTACAGTGTTGAAAAGACCTTTCTAAAATATTTAGGATACTACGCGCGCTGTGATTGGTCGAAAACCATGTTTGATTACAGTTTCTAAAATATTTAGGATACTACGCGCGCTGTGATTGGTCGAAAACCATGTTTGATTACAGTATCAAAACACGCTCGCGTGCGTTAAAAATTTCTTTTATTCTTTTAATTTTAGAAAAGAAATAAAAGACGGAATTCCGTGTTTGATACTCTGATCAAAACACTTGGGATGTAGGGAGAGCACTCGAAAAGCTGGAAACCACTCCGCTACGCGTCGTGATTTCCTACGCTTCTCTTGTGCTCTCCCTACATCCCGCGTGTTTTGATCAGAGTATCAAACACGGAATTTCGTCTTTTATTCCTTAACTCAAGGATGGTTGTAGCAGTTTTAGAATACAATAGTACTAATCATAGAGTTAAAAACAAAGAAATCTTTAGGACAAAGYTCTTGAAAATTCTTATAGAAAAACAAACATTTTGGCCTTTCCACAATAGCTTAGAAGGATATCATAACTCGGCTCCAGTTCCCTCTCTGTCTATATTTTTTTATATTCATTGCTCAGAGGTCCAACTCAATAATTTGAGTGACAAACTGAAAAACCGAGAAGCTACTTGGCTTATAGAATCATTGTAGCAAGCTGTAAAATAACTTATAATTAACTGGCTAATTCACCTGTAGGCATGTTTTGTCTTTAGTATTTCAAGATTACCAGAATATGGAAACATATCTTCATATTCTACTAGTAAACCAGTGGCACCCCACTCTTTAAAGTTAGACAGTAACTAGAAAATAATAATGAAAAGATAAACAATTTGCATAGCTATTCACTTGAAAGTAGCAATTTGTGACACATTCTACATTTTATATGTGACTTATATATGACCATGCAGTGACACATATTGTGTGACTCATATTTGACCATGCAGTGACACATATTGTGTGACCCATATATGAC